TAAGTAGTTATTTACGGCATATCATTTTAAACCTAATGTATACTACACACACACACACAAAATACAAAATCAAATATTTCTTTCCTTTTAACATCCATTTTTACAATACTGTTCTATCCAGAGAATATGGAATCCAAGTGTAATATTTATGATAAAGGTTAATAGAAAAAATGACTTATTCCTTAAAAGTGCATCAGCTGAGACAAAATCCTCAAGACATCCTCTGATGTCTCGGAACTGCCAATGAAGCAATATGTGCAAATGGTAATCGCACGATTTTAAACCACCGAGACCATGAATATTTAACCTGTTTGACATTTTTTTTATAGCTGTAAGCAACTATATGAGTGTATTGTCGGTTTGGGTAAGGTCAGTGCGTGCGAGGATCGATGGTTGCGGAGGGGGAGAGTCAAGATAGACTCCCACTCTTTCTCTTCCTGGCTCTGTTTTAGTACCCGTACTGGCATCGGACGCCAAACACGGTCATGTGCTTTTTTTCAAATAAACGGGAATAATCAGGATAAATTTTACATCCAGTCTATTCCGTACGAGTGTCGTATGTTATAGTCGCGACAGTGCCAAGTTCTGCCATGGGCATATCTTACTAGTTGTTTCCTCTTCCTTTACCTGTCTGTTTTTACAGTCTGTGCAGAAACCACTTCCAGGTAGGATTTTAATGACAGTTTTGTTTGGAAATTTTGCCAAATATCATAATGACTCTGAATGAAGGGGGAAGATTCAAAATCTCGGGGACACATTCTTATTAATTTTCATCGATTTAATATAAATTAAATTCACCTATTGTCAAACAAAATTAGATTACCACTATGTTCTTTGATAATTTGACGTTAATATTTTCAAAATATATGTAATAATTACCAGTAAATGATTGCCTTTGTTTTTGAAATGTTAGAACTTAGCTCTTTGGCCGAACCATTGATCCCTTAAACTTTGAACAAAAAATTCCAGTTAGTTAAATTCATACAATTTTGAAATGGGTTTTTATAACGGGAGAAGTATAAGTTGGTTCGAAAGATGTAACGCAAGTAAGTGTGTATGAACATGTGTTACATCTGACTATTTTATGGAACTCTGGACTATTTTGTGATTTTATTATACACATACAAAAAAAAATTAATTAAACGTTCATTGCCACCCTCACAAAGGATCATGACCCTGCTTTGTCTGCACCTTCAATCTTTCCTCGCCAGTGCATTATTTAAAATAAAAAAAGAGAAAGGAAGAATAAACTCATAAATTACCTAATTGTAATTGTTTAATTAAATCCTTTGGTAGATCGGATTGTCGAAGTAATGCATTTTTGTCTTTGGTGCTGTTATCAAAATAATATTGCGCAAGTTTAGCAAATAATAGATAATGTCTCGAGTTTTTCTTTGACAAACAGTTTCCTTTTTTTGGTGGTGGTATTAAAAAAATATTTTACAGTAGAAATTACTAATAAGAACAAAGGGCATAAAAAGTTGGTACTTATGAACGATAGTTCTTATATCAGGTATTTACCTTCAGGATGCTGGGAATGCAAGTATATATCATGTATATAACAATTATGGATAGAAGTAAAAATAATGTTTAAAGTTTAAGAACAAACACAAAACAATGATTTTGATTGTACCAACGTAGAAATTATTTAATACAAATTTTTACTGGTATTGTCAAATAAATATCCGTATGTATTTGTTTCAGTGTACATGTTTAGAATTTCAGGAAAAATAATAATACATCTCACATTATTTTGTAACAAACTAGGAAAATACGAATAAAATTACGTGCAGATAATAAAAAATTCATTGGTTTAATGAAAAATAGTCATTTGCTTAAAAATAAGTTCTTTGGATGTATTTCTAATGGAATCAAACATTATTACACCAATTTATTAACAATATTCGCACCATAATAATTTCTTTTACACTTGAGCAAGAAATAGAAAGATCTTCGGTGGCATTCTCGACATTATTTTTCCTGCAACAATTTCTTCATCCGCTATATTTTGACGACTAGTAAGCTTCATGCCTATATCTTGAAATCCCGAAACATCCTGTTCAATTGGCAAATCTCGAGCCCAGTCCAGCATGTCAGAAACTGTTCAAAATCGTTGAAGCTTTTACTCAATTCCACATCTTTTCTAGCGTTATGATAGCATACATTACTCAGATCTTCGGTTCTCATTTATTTCCAATGTCGTCGATGATTTGTAAAACTAAATGTTTTCTGAAGTTAACTTAAGTTGTTATCACTCCCTGGTCCATTGGTTGGTGTTCAAATGTTGATCTCTCAAAATCATACTCGCCACAGATCATTCTTGCAATTTATTTTTGCCTATGTATTTCGGCCTTGCCCACAGGTCCCTTTAGGGCTTTTAGGAACTGAAATCATATTCTATGTGTAGATAGAACATGCCGAAATGGAAAAATAAATCTTTGGCTAGTGTGTTTTTTACGAGTTCTGCATTTCTATACCAACCCTAAAAAATAAAGGTAGGGGAAGGAGTGGTTCAGTTTACGCTCATAAAATTTATATTATTAATTTTTTATATACATTTTAGTATTCAAAGTTACAGGTTTTGAGCATTTTTTTTAGTATTAAAATTCTTTTCATACCTTTTATACAGGAATAAGAATGTAATTATAATACAAATTATTCTTATATGACTATACCCGAAGAGTGATTACACCTAAATTAGAATTTATAATGATTTTAATAACTGTTTATAATGATAAAATTCAAACACTGAAGTTTTGCTAAACGGATGCATTCAAATCGTAAGAACCGTGTCTCTTAACCATCGGTTTTACATCCATTAGGATGTTGTTGTCTAATTCCGTAACAATCGTAAATTGTCTTACAATTCTGACACGAGTTCTATTTTCTGCAGACCCTCCGGCTTTTAAAGGAAAGGGGGAAGGAGGGATAATGTAAAACGTGCTACAACCCTAACTAATTTGATGCCTCCTTTGTAGGTGGCTGAGAATGCCGACGGGCGACGTGAGAGACGAAAAGGTGACTTAACTCTTCCTGTGATATCTATAGAAAAGATGGGTCCTTAAAGGTTGAACCCTCTTTTTTTCCCACTCTTGGTTACCAATCTACGTAACAAATGACTTGTGACTCCCTCTCCAACGTTATAGTCTGCTAGGCTTTTAACTTATTGGCATCTAAGTAGAAAAAAATTGTCTCGAAAAAACCAGTTTACTTCTGTGGGAACCATTGCGTCTATTTGGCCGTGTTTATCCCAGGCTGACAAACGAATATAATGAATATAATGTATAGGACTTAAACTAGAATTACACATGGCATTAGTAGAATGATCTGTCAAGAAATTCATAAATTTATCGCTAAATATTCAGTTAATTCAGTAAAATTTCACTCAAACTGTGCCAATTTTTTAAGTGTGTGAAAATCTAAACGTTTTGTGATTTGACAATAGCACGGTTTGGGATCTGTTAACAGTGCTATTACCTGCAAATGCTTGTTTGAAAAGCTCGTCAGTGAGGAATCAAAGATGTACCGGAGGTCATCTCAGCTGGTACACATGTAGGAAGAATGTCTTATTTTCTGTTATTTAATTTAAATGTAGGAGTATTGTTAAATGTTAGTGATGAATTAATTTTTTAATGTTTAAAAACAATTGACATATATTTCTAAAGACGTCTCCCCTTATACTATAAGTGCAACTTTTACGTCAATGGTTGCTTTCGTACATTACGTTGTTTTGGTTCAAATCACGCAATAGTACTACCCTAGTAGCGTAATATCACATTTCGCACAATACAGAGGTTGTGTCAATAACCCAGTTTTGAAATTTAGTGTATCCGATTCCCGCTTATTCTCAATGCCAAGCTTTACGCGTGTTTCGCGATATAGAGAAGATCAACACTCATCATGTTGCTCCTTTATACTTGCTAATACTCATAAATTGGTATTGTGTTGACAGGGTATTATCTTCGTTTCCACGCAATATTGGATAAAATGGTTCAACCCCAATACGACTCCCCTTCCAATCTACCGTTCATTCCAAAAAAAGCCTACCTTTCTTATAAGAAAATATAAACCGAAAAACCAATAGCATGTTCTATATTATGTAGTCCGTCATGTAATATTGAATAACCCTTTATATTATTGTTGTGATATTATAGCGAATGAAAAATGCAAACTTATGGGATTGAAAAAAAAATCTGATTCAAAGAAATATGGCCGCATTTTTCATGAATAACTACTATTTGCTTTAAATAAATATTAATATTAAAATAAAGTGTACTTTAGTCTGACATATATTTTCCTAAGGGAATTTTTTTTAAACCTGTAGTTTAGGTTAAATTACTGTCACGTTCTTGAACCACTTATTCTCCACAATTTGGATTGTAAGTAGAGCTTTCCGCACGGCAAACGCTTTTTGATAGCCACGACCAATCCTTAATCAAAAATATACCTAACTATTGGGTACCAGAGGTAGTGTAGTAAAAGGACTGAAACGAGAATATATTTATTTCAATGACTGAATTTTCATTATGCTTTTATTGTTCATCAATAATAATAATGTAATATCTCTCGACGATTGTTGATGATTATACTATATGTATATTCTTTCTTGTAGAGATGTGTTTTTTTCCGGTCAAGAATGAGGTAGTTTAGAAAAAAACACCTTTTTCGTTGTTTTTTCAAACACCTTTTTCGACCTTTATTTGGACCATCGTCAAGGCATAAAGTGTGGTGCTATTCTTGTGGTGTGGTATTGGTGTTGTGTTAAATTGTGTGAATATCAACTTTATGCCTTGAAGATGATTCGAATAAAGGTTGAAACGTTTGGCAAAAAAATGAAAAAGTTGTTTTTCTAAACCATATCAGTCTTGACCTCTCCTCACGAATCCAACAAATTATTCTTAATTCGTGGACAATAGGTTTTAATTGTATATGCCAATTTATATATCTTTAGACTTTAAATAATTATCAATTGTTTTACATTTCTTTAATTTTATTTTCAGGTTAAAAATCAGTTACGTAATGCCGTCGGCTCGGCTGACTCTACGCGAGGAGGACGTAGTCCGATTGGCCCTCGAATTTCTACACAATCGGGACCTTCATATATCTCAGTTGAGTTTGGAAAGGGAGTCCGGCGTCATAAATGGAAACTACTCCGACGACGTGTTCTACCTCCGCCAGCTCATACTGGACGGGCAATGGGATGACGTGCTCGAGTTCATCCAGCCCCTGGAAGTGCTACCTGCTTTCGACATGCGCAAATTCCAATATACAATCCTGAAACATAAATATGTCGAATTGTTGTGCATCAAATCCGAAGCCGGCGGCATGGCCAATGGGGAACCTGCAGTTCAGGAGATAGTAAAAGTATTGGAGGAACTGGAAAAATTAGCGCACAGCAAGGAAGAATACTCGAATCTCTGTCTCCTACTCACGTTGCCGCGCCTTAGTGACCATCTCCAGTATAAGAACTGGAATCCGAGCAACGCACGCGTTTTGTGTTTCCGAGAAGTGTTTCCGCTGGTGGAAAAGTTTCTAGTGTCGGATAGGAGATCAGCCGCAGGCGAACCGATTCAAGGCCCTTTTGCCCAAGCTGCAAAAAACGATAGACTCATCCAATTGATAATTAAGGGGCTGTTGTACGAATCCTGCGTTAACTACTGTCAGGCGAAAGCTGTCGGCACCACGGGTCCGAACTGTAACGAAATGAACTTTTCGAAATTGCTCGACGGTGCACCGGCATTCAGCGATTCGGATCTCAGCCTGCTGTCGTGGCTCCAGAGCATCCCTGCAGACACTTTCTCAGTGCCTTTCGAACAAAAGACGCTTAATGTAGACGTGGAACGGTTGGAGAGACCTTCCCTCGAAACCTCCTGGACAGAACACATGTTGGTCACACCAATCAAGCCAAAGAACTTTCCGTATCCGGAGATGCCTTTCAGGAGGCCGCGGTCTGCAGCAGACATAATGACCAGATCTCTCCTGCCGGCTCTCGAAGGCCTCCCTCACGGCCTGCAGTTTCCCAGTCATCCGGCCAGTGCTAAAAACGGAAAAACGACCATGGCACTGTCCACTGGCGACATACTCTCAGACGCTATGAGTAGATCCTCTTTCGCCAGTTTCCATTTGACCGGTCTTAAGAACAACCAATTGATGAACACCTCAGTCGACAGGCTTTTTGAAAACGACCCCAACGTATTTCTGAGCAGTAGTTACACGGAATTCGGCCTACAGCCGATTTCGGAAGCTGGGAGTACGCCGACACCTCCAAAAGCGCAAAGGGAGAGATCCATAAGTCCGAAGCTGGGCCAGGCGATTAACCATCCTTCGACTCCCTCGACTCCGGAGCACAGAGGTAGAGAATCTCCGGCCAACTCCACCTCGACGACCGCCCGTTCATCGAGGAGAGATTCACTAAGCGAAAAAGGCTCATCATCTAACACGACACTCGTCTTTTCAGAAAACAGTTTCGACGGAGACCTCCTTCGAGAATATCAACGAATGAAACACGTTCAAGATAACGCGCAGATGCAGCAGAACAACTGCCGCAACCAACACACAGACGACAAGTAAGTTATATTTATCCAAATATTAATTATTGTTAACTAATAATTTTCTTGCCTAAACAAACAAAACGCAGCGTTACGTTTGTTTAAAAAATATTATATTAATTAATACACGATTAATACACAATTAATAATTAATTATATCAATTAATACAATGCTAACGCGTTGTACTTTGTGAAATAAGAGGTTTACATGTGTAGAGATTAGTGACAGTTAATCGATAGTTATTCAGATATCGTGAGACGCGGTCGGGTGTGATGTATTTTCAGAAAAACATTTTCTTTATCGTGCCAACGTTTCGATCTTTTATTGAGATCATCTTCAGGGCCTGGGATTTACAAACAATGTTTACATTTAACATTTATTTAATATATTTTGCATTGTATAAATTCACTTTTCCACATCCTAAATGTATTTGTTAAATGTAAACATTGTTTGTAAATCCCAGGCCCTGAAGATGATCTCAATAAAAGATCGAAACGTTGGCACGATAAAGAAAGTGTTTTTCTGAAACCTACATCACACCTGACCGCATCTCACGATATCTGAATAACTAAGAGGTTTACGTTTTCTTCAGTAAATCAGTATTTAATTTAACTTCCAGACTTCATCATTAACTTTGAACGTCGATAAAATATGATATGTTATAACATGCTCAATGTTTGAGAGTATTATTATTATTTTTGACTGATAATTTGGATTTGGAGCATTTTATTGAACATTCAGTTTTTTTCAAAAGTTTTTTTTTTCTATTTGATTTCACATTTGAAATGTTCATTACTTATACGCGAACAACAAGGATTCCTTGCTAAAATATGTCGATTTAACAATATGTCATCAACCTTCACTCTTGATACATTAAATTAAATCGTTAAAAGAAATTTCAACCGTGAAAAGGTCTTTCACCTTCCGCTTCCTATTCTTTTTATCCCCTCACTCTTAGACAATAACTAATCTTGGTTCAACGGAGTAAATTGTTTTAGCTACTATGCACCAAACGAAAATGGTTTAAATTCTTGTCAAGTGGTTCTGGGTCTGAGGGATGATGCTCTAAATATGAGATACAAAGTTTCATTATTTTTTAATATTATAAAATAAAGACAATACTTTTATTTTGAAACTCTTTCACTCTTTTCCTAAAGCCAAACTTAGGATCTGACCACACAGAACAAATTCAAAGCCACACAATTGAAACCATCTACATCTTCTACCAATTAACCTCCCTTTCTCGCTAGAAATCGAATTCACCTCGTTGAAAAGCGACTCGCTGATGAAAAAAAGTGGAACATTTCTTTTAAGCAGCCGTCTCAGTTGTCCTACCAGTCGTCATCCAAGTTTAGAATTCAGGAAGACGGGTGTAAGTTGGAAAGCGATGCGCTTTTCTCTTCAGACCGGTATTCGATCCTCGACAAGTGCCAGTTATCTTCAGAACGAAGTCGTGAACAAGTGAGTACCGTTTTGACTTTAAAACCGGGCTTTAGTATTTTATATTAAATTCACCTTCCCGTCTTCTTTTTCTACGTATTACTCAGTCGTGTATCGTTGCATTTGTTGGAATTTGCTCATATAAAAGGCATTCGTATATTCATTCCCATTCGTGGCTTAATTTTTATTTTTCATACTTTAAAACTTTATTTAACTAGTTAACCTATGTTTAAATCATATTTGACATTGTAGTTGGTTTTTCTAACCATTTTTAGTAATCTTATGATTCTTCCTTCTTGAAGGTGGGATAATAGGTCATCTCAAAAAACCACAACCAGTTTTTATCCACAACTTTTCGGATTTATTTTAATCCTTCCTCAGGTGAGTTAACGCCTGTACACAACAATTTTTTTTTTTTTACATTTTTATATCAACATGGTTATCATTGTTTCTTCACTACTTAGTAGTGACTAAACTACTAAGTAGTGAAGAAACAATGATGATAACCATGTTGATATAAAAATGTAAAAAAAATAATTGTTCTGTGTACAGGCGTTAACTCACCTGAGGAAGGATTAAAATAAATCCGAAACGTTGTGGATAAAAACTGGTTGTGGTTTTTTGAGATGACCTATTACCCCACCTTCAAGAAGGAAGAATCATAAGATTAACTGTTGAGGTCAAAATATAAGAAAACATTTTTAGTAAGTAGTAAAGAGGGTTTTTGGAATCATTATCAGTATCGTAGGTTCTGATATTCTCTATTCTTCGTCCGATTCATGAGGTGTAAGCCATTTCGGTGAAAAGTTTGTACGGTAGAAATGCCTTCAACGCAAAAAAATTTCAACTTCAATTTGGGATTTTCTTCGCATTTGTTGTAGTATATTTTTGTGTACTGTTGTGTACCTGAGCCGGATTTATTCGATTTTGCAGTACATTTTTTACACGCAGATTCATTTGCTGGATCCATAATTCCTCATCCATACATTCCAATTGATCTGATAACCGATAAATATATACTTCTAATTAATTCTAAATCAATATATATTACAGTTTAATAGGAAATAGAATTGCTTCGGGCGCGTTCCAACCAGTTTGATGGTACGCTTTATATGTACGTACCAGACTTATTTTACCAACCCGGGTATTTTACAGCTTTGATGCTGCAGAACAGTTTGCCCAATTAGCAGTAATGTTCGGGCATTTATTTTACTTTCTAGGTTAAGGACACCAGATTGTATTTTTTATGGTTTATTATTACATGGATGTTTTTAAAGTCGAAATTTATGGCAATCCAATATTTTTTCTACTGTAAGGAATCCTATTAAAAGATATAATCAAACATTTGCATTTGGTTAAAAAGATAGCGTTGATCTTGAAGTTCTAGCTAATTTTTTCGTTGTCTTGTTAATGCTGTCTACAAAAAACCAACAAAGAGGAATAAGCAAAAATAACTTTATCGTAGTATGTAAATAATTGTAATTTTTTGGTTTGGCACGTGCTGTTAAAATATTCTCAATAAATTATCCAATTTCTGCTACTTGCTTTTAATATTCCATATATCTTATTTCAATATTATTCAGTACAAAATGGATTAAAAAAATTAACCCAGTACAATAAATATTAATTTTATTAAAATATTTACATTAAATGAAAATTTAACAAGTTATTAAAATATATTACGGTTTTATAGACCATGTCTTAGTATCATTTGATGTTGTTCCTCCTGTTCGAAGGGAGTTCAATCATTTTTGGCGTCCCGGGGAACATTTTTTGACGCCCTTGGTTGGGGACCTGCTGGCTGCGATGTTTTCGTTTCTTGATTCTTCTTTGTCTTCCGGCTTCGAACTTGAATCTTCATCCTCATCCGTAAAATCCGCGTTATCTTCTAGATCAGAACTGACATCGTCCAATAAAAAGTCATCTTCAATATCCGTAAGGGTTTCCTCCAAATCGAGCGAGACAGAAGTGAGGGAGTCGTTTATGGACATATTCTGTTTGAAAAACAAAACAAAAACACAATAGTTAGTCACAAAATTAGAGATAGCGAATACACTATACAAATTCAAACATCAACTTTATTCTAACAATGATTATTTGGAGATCTTGAGGTGCGGTCTGGTGTGACCGTGTATAAATGTGTGGTGTGACTAAACACCACACATTTATTCTAACATTCAAACTCATAATTCCATACTCAATCTAATTGTTATCAGAAAAATAAAATAAAACTAATTATGTTATCAAATATGTATAAAAAGATAAAATACTAACGGAAAAATGCGTGGTTTGTGTGGTGTCTACTTCTTCATACTCCATGTCACTAAAAGGAGTATCAGAGAAATCAGAAATCTCGCGAATGGGAACTTCCTGTGAAAATAAAAAATAAACATAAGGTTAACTTAGCACTACAATTTCAACAAGCATACACTAAATCTATGCCTTGAAGATGACCCGAAAAAAGGTCGGCAATAAAATGAAAAAGATGTTTTACTAAAATACATTTAACCTATCCATTCCTCACTACTTCATTATTGATAACATTAACATTTTCATCTTAACCAATACCTTAGATAAAAAGTGTAATTAATTAAAATAGTTAACGTTAACATTGAAAAGTGGTAGAATAAAGTAAAAATGAATATTTTTCCATTATAATATTTAAATAAAGTTTTTAATTCGCTCGAAATAAAAAACAAACATCTCAATTTAGTTAAACTAACTTATCAAATTATATGTCAAATATAAATTAGTACTTACGGCAAAATGCATGGTGGATGTGAAGTTGTTCCGACTTTGGTCTAGCTCGGTTCGAAGTCAAACGAGTTAATAGGAAAATAAAAAATTGAGACCTGGCCTTTTATACCCCGAAGTACAATAGAGTAATCCCTTTCACTCCCACCCCGTAACTTACTTGGACCTATGGCCCACCCCTTTCGGCAATATTTAATTTTATTGGAATGGGGGCGTCGGTGGCCGCAAAGGTTTAGGCATTGACACGTTGGCTCATCACTGTAAGATAAAGGTCCCGGGGTTCCAATCCAGCGGCCCTGCATAGGAACCCGACATACTTACAAATGGGCTTTTTTTCAAAAACACCGGCACCCCGAGGGATGATCAAAATCTCTGCTGTTGCGAACCCTCGTTAAAAAAAAAAATAATAATAAAATAATATTGGAATTTGTTGAATTGTATTAAAATCGAATGAACATGCGCAGCACCAACAAATTTTTTAAATGTTGTTAATGTCTACTTCCTTTAAAAAAAATTGAATTTCGATTAATATAAGTATTATTATAAGTATATTCGATTAATATATAAGTATTAAGTAAAATAAATAAAACTAAAAATTGAATTTCGATTAATATAAGTATATTCGATTAATATATAAGTATTAAGTAAAATAAATAAAATAAGTATATACATACATGGATTATAACCGTCTGCCAACCTCGGGCATCATATTGCTGGTTTCATAAAAATCAATATGGAAATATAAAAAAATAGATAANAATATATATTATATATATATATAAAATACATATATCGCATATATGTTGGTTCGAGAAAAAATCTGACTGCTCAAAACAATTTGTCATTATTGTTAAAGCATGAAAATCCATAAGCATTGACGGTCTCCCATAATTAAAAGTTATTTAAATAAAAAACAAAAAACAATGTGCTTTCAAAAACTGAAAATAATTGGACATATATTGACGGTTTTTAATGTCTTTAACCAAACTCGTTAAATAATTACTACCATATTTTTTTATGTATTATAAAATTGATTTATGTTCCATGCTCGGATATTCAAAATTTATAAATTTTATTTATATATATTATCATGTTTCAATTTATCCCCCGTAGGCATTTCTTTTTCTCTCGTTACTTGCGGCTTGGTTTTCAATTCACGAACATAAATTAGCAGATGATTTAGCGGCGAAGCAAAAAAAAAAAGAAAAGTTTTTGGAATGATGTTACAGTTACCAAAAAATATATTCAGCATTTTTAATGGAGCGCAGAAAATGAATAGGAACTTAGTTTCTTGCTAAAAAAGGTATTTCGACCTACTTTCTTATATCGCTCGATCTCAAAATAATTACATATATATTTGAATAAGAGCTCGAATTAGAAATAAAAAAATATCTTCTTTTTATCCACAAATTTCGCCTTCAAATGCCTCCCATGTTTTCGAAAATGACAAAAATGGTGATAACTTTGAAACCACTCTATGGATCCGTAAGAAACTTGATAAGGATTTAGAACCCTATAACCTTAAAACGTAATGACCCAAATTTTGCATCGCTATGAAGTTGAAAATTTAAGGGTTTTAAAGGATGCACACAACCAATCGGATTTTTTTTTAACGAAAAGATATTCTGGCATAGTTAACTATTTTGTGTTTTGTAATTTTTTTTACAAGTGTACATAGAAAACGCCCTTTGAGTGAGTAGAAATACTTTGATTGAATATATACAAAAAAAAGTTTATTTGCATTGTAATAAATTCACTTTTTCCACATCCTACATGTTTTTGTTAAATTTAAACAATGTTTGTAAATCCCAGTCCCTGACGATGATCTCGATCAAGATCGAAACGTTGGCGCGATAAAGAAAATGTTTTTCTGAAACCTACCTCACACTAGACCGCATCTCACGAGTTAAAATATACCTTTATGTAACGCATTGGTTGAAATGAAAATATTAATTGATTGAAAGAAGTTATTTGGTCAGTCGGACCACGAAATATAATGGGGTAATGCACTACTACGGCCGAAATCCATTTTCTCAAATTTAAAAAAAAAAGTATTTTAAAAAATATCTCGGCTCCTTGTGGCCACATTGGCAAAACCGCTTGGATATGGATCTTCGAACTATAGTTGTATCAGCAAAAAGGTTTCACTGAAATCTGCGATTTCACGTCCGTCTCCCCTTGTATTTTAATAAGATTTCCAAAATGAAAGACTTTGAATGAGCTATGGGACTTTTCCATTAACTAAGCCTGTTTTTTTTTTGTTTTTTTTAATATTTAATGTTACCGGTCCGGAATGGACCCATAGCTCTCTCTCCTCAGATGGTTTGATCTAACGTCCGAAATTCGTATGTACTTACCATTTGGTAGATCGGCAAATAGCCAGTAAAACTTTTTTCTGGTAGAGATAAGTGTTAAGAAATTTCCCAGGTTCATCACAGGTTGGTGATTGATAGTCATTGTACTGGACTGATTTTCATCTCAAATAACGGATCTATGGGATGGGAAATGGATATGCTTTTAGATGGGAATGAAGAGAGACATGTTCTAGAAAAAAAGAACAAACTTATTGGTGTTAGTTACTCGTAAATTGTGCGGTGCCCATATTTCTCGATTTTCTTTTAATTGACTTACCTTGGAAGGTCAATTCGGTTTGGCGGGAATCCGAATCAATTAATCTTTCTAAGGAGTTCATCAGAGGATATTTGGTCTTCATGGGCTCTTATCTTCGAGCCTTTTTGTTACTAAAATTCACCCACCTTGCAGAAACCAAAATTGCCAAAACTGGCTTTTACGAATAATGGAAATAGGTACAGTTTGAGATTCAACATGAATCACTAGCTTATAACAGTTTGAACGCATATCCAATACTGGATTAGAGTTTAATACCATCTTTATAAAAAAGTAAACATTGGTGTTTGTACTATTTTGGAACAAAACGCTGATGCTCACCCAAACACGGTTATTTAAAAAAAAAAACCACATTACTTTTAGGAAAATGTAGTAGTGTTGTGTGATTGAGATTTGAAAGGCAAACGAAACTAAATTATAACGTGAAAAGGTCTCTTATCTTTAGGTCGCTTTGCATTTGATGACAATGATAAATTTCTAAACTATTTTTTCCATTATTTTTTAGTTTATTTATAAAGCTGACCCCAAATAAAAATTATGAGTGAGCAAAGGCATAAAAATTATGAATAACGAAATGTAATTTTATGGTTACTTATAAGCAGAATTATATCTAAGTTTATAACCATTGTGTGCTATTATAGGGAAAAAGGTTCTCAATAAATTAGACGATTTATGCTATTTGCTTTCAGTAGTTGATATATTTTATTTCAATATTATTTATACATGGCATAGAAAATTTAACCCTGTACAATAAATATTAGTTTTATCAAAATATATACATTAAATGAAAATGCAAGGTTTTAAAAAAAATCCACTCGGTGTTTATAGATCATGTCTTGCGTCGTTTGTCGTCAATGCCGCATCATTTCTGAATCAGTTTGAGGAGAGTTCAACTATCTTCGACATTTCCTGGAATATTTCTGTTGCCGCCGTCGTTTGGAATTGCATTGACTGTGTCATTTTTGTTTGTTGATTCTTCGTTGCCGTTCGACCCCGAATTCGAATTCAATTCCTTATCCGAAGAATCCTTTTCATTTTCTAATTCTGAACAGTCGTCGTCTGATGACAAGAAATCCTCAGCGTCCGTAAGAGTGTCTGAATCACCGTAGAGGGAGTTTCCCTGTGAGAAACAGAAAATAATTGCTTAGGCACAAAATTAGAGGACGGGTAAATTCGAAGTGAATAAAATATACAAATTCAAATATAAACTTTTGACATAAATATAACATCATAAATGTAAACTTTGCTTCATTCGTCAAATACTTACGGAAAAATGAGTTGTTAGCGTGATGTCGACGAATTCTATGTCCTCCTCATCGTCACTAAAAGGGGTATCGGAAAAATTACAAATCGGGCGCATAGGAACTTCCTAAGAAAATAACAATAAATACAAGGTTGTCATTAACGTTAAAGAGGAAGAATAAATTGAAAATAAACCATTTACAATAATAATATATTATATCGCTTTATGTTTTAAAGTTTTTAAGAGGCTTGAAATAAAAATTCAACATGCCAATGTATTTAAATTAACTTCTTATCGATAAATACCCCACAAGTATATAATGAGTACATACAGCAGAATGCATCGTTGATGTGAAATGTGACGTGAAAAGGGTGCTGGCTACTGCAAAAGTGGCTTCGTGCTTCTGTAAAGCTCGGTTCGAAGTCAAACGAGTAAATAGGAAAATCAAAAATTACCTGGGCTTAAATGTCCAAGAGTACAATAGGGATGTTTTCACCCCACTCCGTACATTTATTTGGAAGTATTACTCATCCCTTTCTTCAATTTTTACTTTCGCATAGATTTAGGTTCGATTTTTTTACAATTGTTGACAATTTCGGAATTCAAATTCACCATTACAATGCTACCACGAACATTTTTGATATATCTTCTAAAGGAGATTACATAAAAACGAAGAACAACAAAATGCAAAGTAAATGCGTTTTTTCCAGACTTGTGCTTTACACCAATATGTTATACTTATTTCAAGTTTTTTAAAATATTTTTTGTTTGTTAACCCCTCATTCTATTATTTTTATCATCCCGGAATGAGTGCTTTTACATTGGACCCTACGCACTACTAAAAACCGGGAACTTCCCGTGTTGAGTCTCGAACGGTGGCCGTGATGTTGGATTAATTCAACTCATTTCTTAAAAACACATTTTAATCAATCCTTCACATTTACTTAATAAAATAAATAAGAATGTACGATGATGGACTGCATAGTATTCCAAATAATGATTTACATTTATATATGTATTTATTTAATACATGATATAATACGATTTAATATACGATATAAAGAAAATCGCCAATTCAGACCGCGCTTTTGTTTATTTTATTTAAGCACATACAAATATGTTCATTTTTTGACGTTTGCTATTGTGCTATATACCGGGCAATTATTTATAAACTACCCCTCCCCTTTTAATTCTTCTGTTGGGAAATAATTTAAATATGACTTGTCTTTGTGAATATGAAGTCAATTTTTTTCGATGTTCAGTAGGTCACCAGGGCTCAGCAACTTTTTTTAAATGGGAAGGTATTTTGAATATGGAATTAAATTCTACGACTGTTTTAAAGAAAATTTTACTTCGGGCACTTTTCTTGAAGAGTTCGTCGTTTAAGAGTTATTAAGGTTTGAAAAATAAAAAGTTGAAATTTTATTGATCTCAATCGTCATTCATTTACCTCTTACTAACTTTAAGTAAATTATTAATTACTAATTAATTTAACTCCTAGTAACTTTTTTAAATAAATCCTAGTAAATTAAATTTTCCAAATGGGCACCACCGATCTTCCATATAATGCAAAATCTTGTTATAGAATTCATTTCGCACGTCACGAAAAGTATATGGTGTTATGCGAATTGGAATTACTCCAATTACGGTAATTTTGAGGTTTCCATTTTTTGGTTTGGCAGTAAACATTGAATAATTTCTCTATGTTCATTTTAAGGAATTAAGACTTATTTTGGTACAGCTCACTACCAGCTAATGGAAAAGAGAACTGCTAATTTGAATTTCTTTAAAGTGTCGAATGTGTTTCCGTTGAAATGATAATAATAATAATAACATGCCGAGGTGGTCTAGATCTTTGAAAGATAGAGTAAAATTAATTTATCTTTATGGAGCCACCCATAATTTTCACGAAGCTGAACGCGTGTTTAACACCAATTATCCGGTTCGTCCCATTGTTAGGTGCTCCAAGTAAAATCTTAAAATACAGTCGTAGAATTTAATTCCGTATTCAGAATGATTCAGATTCTACGTAAAAAAATTATGTAAATTCAGTCCTATTTTTTTAAATTATTTCCAGTCAATAGAAATAAAAAGGGGGTAATTTATAAATAATCACCCAGCATGCATGACAACGTAGCACATGCTTCAAAAATCCGTTAGGTTTGTATTTTTTATATTAGAAAAAATAGCTAAGAAGAAACTCGTATTTTCATTTGATTGATTAAAGATTGTAAAACTATAGTTCATCTATTATGTAATAAATAAGAATTCAAATTGTTTCAACAAATCTTAGTTCCGATAGTTAAAAAAATCGTAGTTATTATTTATTCGAATAGATCAAAGACAATTATAACTCAAATATGAATTTTAGACTTGAGGATGCTGAAGGATAGCTGGTCTTATGCAAACATCACCTACACTCCACTCGGACAAGGTGAAACACCCCATCCCACACACCAGAACCGTTCACCGGTGTAAACGGCCAAAGAAATTGTACAAGATTAGGAATGTATCAATAATTAGTTTAAAATTGATAATTGTATAAAATAGTACAAAAAATTCAGAAGATTGTACAATTAATTTTAATTGTACTAAACTGTTTTTAAATATGACTGAGCAAAGCCATATGTTCTGCTTAGTAGGATATTTGTCTTGAAGGTCATTGAATGTCAGGTTGTCCTTCCATTGTACCATAGATGTGTCCAATTTGAAAGAACATTTCAAATTTTTTACTTCAATTTTTGTAATTTTATTTGCAAACTATTTAAATTGACCGGATGTCAAAACTTAGCAAGCAATGAAAAAGGTTCAGATTTGTGAACGGATTAAAAAGTTCGCAACCACTCCTCCTGATTCGTCGAATATTACCGTAAAATGCTAAAAGAATTAAAGAATACATTTAAACTTGTTTTTAGTGTCAAGTTGAATGTTTAAGAAAGGCATTTAATTGTATGAAGTACAAAGGGTTTAAAGAAGTCAAAGTACCGGTGGGGAAACCCAAGGGTCATCCCCTTAGGGACTTTGTCATTTTCCTTTCTATGACCCGCTATAATCCTCTTAGGCGTAACTTTGAGGCAAGAGCCGTCCACCGTTTCAAAATGTTAGTTTTCCAAGAATAAAATCAATTTACATTTACAAAATATCTATGCACATTTATACTTTTGCAAATAAATGCAATTTTTTGCTATCTAATTGCAGGGTGTATTTAATAAATATGTGGGTATGTTGATACGTGGGTAGTAGCATCCGAAGAAAGAAATTCTAATTAAATAAATATTCCGGTAAAACGTTCATAAGATATTAGTAGATAGTTATACAAAGAAAAAAGAAAAATAATCTATTCGTATTTAACATTATGGAAAACATTTAAGCCTATTTTTTAATGTGTATACGACTTGCTTTTAAAAATAAAACTTGGACTTGGAAAAATAAAAAAATAATACCTTCAGTTCTAAAGTTGGAAAAATAATAGGCAGAGAAAACGACTCCAAAAAGAAAAGGTTCTAGTTTAGTTTATTTTAAAATCAAGATGAAAATATAACTGAACTTAATGTTGATGTTATTGATATCTGTCTTGATATTATAATTATAAATATAAAAATCAGGGTTAAGGCAGATTTGAAAGATAGAAAAACACTGAGTTTCTTCATCAAGCTTTTACTTTTAGAATATTACTTTAAAAAAAACGTCATTTCTCAGTCGTAATTTAGAATTGACGGGTGAAAAATCCACCCTTAAAAGCATAACTGACTTCATATAACCTCGTAATTGATATACCTTGAGCAAGGGGCTTATTATGTTATGGCTGAAGCCAAAATTTTGAATATTAAATATATTTTAATATGTGTAATACTTTATTATTGCTTTCATTAAATCTAAAGTTTCTACATTGTGTATAACCTTGTGTAAATTTATATTCATATTTCATATGTATTTGTATAATTCTTTATAACTCAGAAGCCCTGAAGATGATTTCAATAAATATAGAAACGATGGCACGAGAAAGAAAATGTTTTTCTAAACCTACGTCACACCAGACCTCATCTCATGATCCCTAAATAATCATATTTTTGTATGATGCTTGTACAATGTTTAAATCATTAATAATAGTTTCAAAGTCCAAATAAGGGTGATATATCCACGAAAGCTAAAAGTGGAAGGTACCGAGTATTTCTCTTTTTTTCCAATTTGTCTTAGCCCTGATGTTTTATATGTTAGAAATTCAGGACCTACTATACATTTTTATATCTATTTCATTTAGCTTAAATATTCTAAACGTTTTGCCTTCATTTAGTTTGAAATCTAATCTTACTTGGCTGGTTGCATCAGCAAAGATTTACAGATAGGTCTTAAAATTATTATAAAATATTTCTTCATAGCGTATTCATTTATATTCGTCCTTTTTAATTTTATTAACAATTTTCAATTCGTACACATACTTACATTTCAGGTTTATATTACTATTAAAAAAAAGGGGAATAAAGCTGTAAGTTTGGTTTCGCGGACGAGAAACAAGCCGCTTAGCAGCGTACAAAAGCCATGTGATCCGGGATTTGAACCTAGAACCCCGAATGCAATGTGGAATGCAAGCCCTTACAATTCAACCACTGCGGCCCCCAAAAAAGCTATTTTTATTTTTCAATACAAACAACGAAGACAAGATGCATTTGTCTTCATCATTTTATTAGTGCTTGAGTAATTCTACAAAAATTAGGCAATTTTTTATAAATTATATAATATTTGTTCAATAATTTATAATGCTCTCTCTCACCCCCTCTCTCTCACCCCCTCTCTCTCAACCTTTCTCTTTCTCTCTCTCTCTCTCTCTCTCTCTCTCACACACACACACACACCCTCTCTCTCAACCTTTCTCTCTCTATCCCTCCCTACCCCCTCCGTTGAGAAATGACATCTTGTCGGTTAAGATAATTCAGTAATTTAATCGTTAATTAATTCATGTTTGTTTAGTGGTCATAATTGACCATATAATATTCCTTGATTCATCAAATATTACCTAAAATACTAAAAGAATTAAAGAATAAATTTAAACTGGTTTTAGTGTCAAGTTGAACGTATAAGAAAGGCATTTAATTGTAGCAAGTACAAAGGGTTTAAAGAAGTCAAAGTACCGGTGGGGAAACCCAAGGGTCATCCACTTGAGGGACTTTGTCATTTTCCTTTCTATGACCCTCTGTAATCCTCTTAGGCGTAACTTTGAGGCAAAAGCCGTCCATCGTTTCAAAATGTTAGTTTTCCCAAAATAAAATGAATTTACGTTTTGTTTATATGTACGTACATTTATACTTTTGCAAATAAATGCAATTTTTTTGCTATCTAATTGCAGGGTGTATTTAATAAATATGTTTGTATGTACGTACATTTATACTTTTGCAAATAAATGCAATTTTTTTGCTATCTAATTGCAGGGGTATTTAATAAATATGTGTGTATGTAGCATCCGGTAGTAGCATCCGAAGAAAGAAATTCTTATTAAACAAATATTCCGGTAAAACGTTCAATAAATAAAATCTACAAAAAATAATTTGCCTGAAAAAGAAATAAGTTGGAAAAAATCAATTTAAAATTAAAAACGATTAATGATCAAAAAAGTTCTAAAGTAATATGTGTAAGTGATTGTAATAAATCTGTTTCGCAGGTCGTCATGAATTAAAAAAATCTACATTGCCTGGTAGACATAAATTGAAAAACATTAATTTAATATAAAAAAAAAGAAAAATAATCTATTCGTGTTTAAGATTATGGATAAGTTTTATTTTTGAATGTGTATACGACTTGCTTTGTAAGGTGAATATTAATATTCTAATTAATTATTCTTTTCACCTATGGTTTTGGTTGAGATGAAATCTTTAATAAATAAAATGAGGGTAAAATTCATTTAATTGCACTTTTATATTCATTCTATTAACTCAACTAGTTATTATAAAAACACTGTTTTATTTAATTATACATTATACTCTTATATAGTATTAAAAAGGATATGAAAATTTTAGTATTATATATAAACCAAAATATACACTAAGAGGAAACAGAAAAGTGATCGCCGTCTTTTTTTTTCTTTTTTTTCAAAAACTTGCAATCGTTATAATTTTTATTTTTCGTTTTTTTAATGGATATTTTTAAAGAAAAATATGAAATATAGTATAAAAATAAAATAAAAAAATTAAACTGAGTAAAACAATTTTACCAAAAATTTTGCTATAGAAACAATGAAAATAATATTAAATTCAGTAGGGAGTTGTTCACTGCTTGAATTAGAAGTTGCATTTTATGAGATTTTGAATGTAGTGCTGTGGTGAAGTGCTAAATTACCAATGTAATAATAAATAAGATTCATATATTTCACTTTGAATAAAAACAAGGCGTTTTCTTTCATATTTCGTTCATATTAATTTTTATTTCACAATAACTTCTATAAAACATTTATAAAATCAGCAATACTGAGATAGAAAAAGTAGATTTTTATGACGAATAACTAATTATTTGTCACGAACTTTTTTCCCGATTGTCCTTTTATATACGTTGTATCTTTATTACGCACAATTGCGCAGAAAACATACACTTTGAGTGAGTAGAAATACCTTGATTGAATATAAAACTATTTTTTTGCATTGTATAAATTCACCTTTTTCCACATCCTACATGTATTTGTTAAATTTAAACAATGTTTGTAAAACCGAGGCCCTGAAGATGATCTCAATAAAGATCGAAACGTTGCACAATAAAGAAAATTTTCTGAAACCTATATCACACCAGACCGCATCTCGCGATTTCCGAATAATCATCGACTAACGGTCACTAATCACCACACATATTTTTTCAATATTTTATATAAACTACCATAAATATGGTTATAATTAGGATAAATAAAATAGTGACACTACATTTTATAAATTAATATTTATTAAACTAGAATCTATTATACACCAAATGCCCATATAGATACACATAATATACAATATCATATATACATTAAATATTTAACATGTCATAAAATCTTTAAGGATGGATTTTAACCGGGTTGTTAGGTTTTGCCTTATGGCTTCTTCGTTGTTTCTGTACTACTTTGACGTTAAATATCTTCTTTTTGAAGTTTTTTGTTTTCTCTGCTGTCGTCCGATTCCGAGCCAGAGGATGCTTCTTCGTCCAAAATGGTCATTTCAATTTCCACTTCGGCGCCGACGTTATTCACGACGAAATCGTCATCAACGCATTCGTACATTTCCAAATCGATGCCATTAATATGAGTATCATCCACATTGTGAGAAATCCGGTACTGAGTAACTTCCTGTAAAGAAAAAATGAACTTAGGTCAATATTCACGTATAAAGAAAAGTATATATCATTTGGTATACATTTAGTTTTAAATGCCAATTTATTTAATTTAATATTATAGAAATACATATATTTCAAAAAATATAAAGATGTAATAAGTACTTACGGTGACATGCATGGTTGACATTGAATCGGTGGGGTTTTCGATTTCGTGTTCCTCTAATTCGATATTGGATTCATCTTCTTCCACTTCGGATTCTTCTATTTCGCTTTCGGTTACTTCCTCGACGTCGGATTCTTCTATTTCCCTTTCTGTTTCTTCCTCAACTTCGGATTCTTCTTTTTCGCCTGCAGATACGTCTTCGTCTTCACTCATAGCATCATCGACATCATGAGAAATTTCTTGTCGATGAACTTCCTTTAAAGCAAACAAAAATGGTTAATATTAACATACTTGGAGGTGGAAGTAACCAAAATATTTGGCACGTGATGTCGGTTTAAAATACAACGGGACTAATTATTATTAATTATTTGAACTACCATCAAATTGAAAAATATTATAATGAAATGAGAACTTACCGGAGAATGCGGGGCTTTGTTGAGTTCTTCCTTCGCGATTTCCCTTTCTTGTTCCTCGTCTTCACTCATAGGAGAGTCTTCATCGAAATTACGAGAAGTTCGGTTAGAAGGAACTTCCTGTAAAAAAATAAATAAATATATTACTTATAAATACATACATTACTTCAAATATTAGGATTTACGACTGTCGCTTAATAAAAAGTCAATATGCCAATTTACTTCAACTAACGTTTTATCGGTGAATTAAATCATAAAAAAGTACTTACCGACGAATGCGTGGCTTTGTTAAGTTCTTCCTTCCTAAGTTCTCTTTCTTCTTCCTCAACTTCACTCATTGGAGAGTCTTCATCGTAGTTACGAGAAGTTTCGTTAGAAGGAGCTTCCTGTGAAAGAAAAAAAAAACATTAATATTTACGTTGCCTTGGGGGGAGATATGTTTTTTCAAATATTATGAGTTTTACTTAATAAAAACCCAATATGCCAAATGATGCCTTCGAACATTTTATCCGAAAAAATAACTTAAAAATTACTTACCGAAGCATCTGTTTCTTCTTCTTCTGATTCGTATTCATCTTCTTCGACATCACTAATAGGAGTGTCAGGAAATTCATAAACCCGGTAAATCGGAATTTCCTGTGAAAATATAAACATAGGGTTAATTATTAAATATTAACATTTTCAGGAGTTTGGTTATTATTATTTGAAATTATTATACTATTTAAATCCCTAAATTAAAGTTTTTGACTGAGGTGAAATAAAACTCCAGTATCTTAATTTACTTACACTAAATTGTCATAAAAAAATATAAAACGAGTACTTACGGAAGAGTGCATGGTTGATGTGATATAGGTAGTGGCTACTGCGGAAGTGGCTTCGGGCACAGTTGTACAAAGTTCGAAGTGACAAGAATAATAGCAAATTTAAAAATTCCTGGGCTTTTATACGGGGGAGGACAAGAGGGCTGTACTTTGCACCCCCACCCCTAGTTCGGAAAGCACCCTTTCGGTCCTTTTTATTTCGGTCAAAATTTAAATACCATTTAGTTTTAATTTTATTTATTTATTTTACGTGTAGAATTTTTGTAAATAAATTAAATTATTGTACACATTATGTTGTATACATTATACTTCTTGTGGAAACGAAATTTTTAAACAATGTTATTTTTTGAAGCAGAATGTTATGTGTTATTAGGCCTTTTCTTAAGGATTTAAAATTAATATGAAATATGAAATTGTATTGTTAATAATTGAAGTTATTTTAATTTATTAAATTCCTAAAGTCGGTTGTTTCCAACTGATTGTTCCACAATTGAAATTTATTTACTACAATACAAATAAATTATGTTTTAATAAAAAAAACTTGAATTACAAACAATACATTAATCTTCAATACTTAAAAGAAACTTAAAAATATATATTTTATAATATTCTAATTAATATGGTCAATTATGACCACTAAGCAAATATGTATTATTTTTATAATAGATTTACCTAATCTGAAGTTTTTTTCTGTTTTAGGTAAGTAAGAAGTATTGCACGAAAGTTTCATCGGAATTCGAATTTCGATTGTAGTAAGTATAAGTGTTGTAATGTAACTATACTATAAGAAATGATTAAGGTTTAATGGCCTTATGGCTACATTTCAATATATGATTGCTGAGTGTTGAAATTTCTGAGTTGAAAAATCTGAGAAAAGGCTGAAATTGGTTGCACACAACAAATTTTAATCCTTCCTTAAATGTCTCTACATTTTTTAATTTTATCCAGCAGGCTTTGACATTTTATACTTTTAAAAAGTCAAACCGAGTCTTATCATGACGAAACCTAGCAAATAATAATTTTGGACAATTATTGAAGAAAAAAAGGCAAAACAGTGAAAGTTGCTACTCAATTTTAGTTCATTCTCCTCGTAAATGTTTTGGTTTATTTCTAAAGGTTCTAGCCATTTATGTCTAAGTGTAACTCAATCCAACAAATCCATACGAAAACGAAGCCCGAAACGAAATATTTAGGGATATAAAACATCAGAAAATAGGACGTTCTAATAATTGATTTCAGTAGGTATATTAATTAAAAATTGAAAATTTTCTGTTCCTTCCAGCGTGTTTGAATGGCCGCTAATAATTTATTTTGACAGTTTTGAATAGAGTTAATATATTTGAGTAACTGCCATTTTTTATATTTAAGTATAATTTATATTTATGTATTTTTTTCATCTGAAGGGGGCGTCGGTGGCCGCAACGGTTTAGGCGTTGACACGGCGCTGATCACTGTAAGGTAAAGGTCCTGGGTTCGAATCCAGCGGCCTTGCATTCGAACCCGACATACTTACAAATGAGCTTTTTTTTTTAAAAAAACACCGGCACCATGAGGGTTTATATGACCTCTGCTGTTGCGAACCCTCGTAAAAAAAATTAAAATTTTCATCTGAACTCTACTTCAATTGTCTGCTAATCTAGCGCATCCACAATCAATAGTTAATTATCAGAGCCGAAAAATAGTAAAATGTGTAATTGTTTGGTAGTTCATTTTGATCGTTATTAGTCGTTTCGGCTTCTCGCCTTGTGTTTTTGAAAAAACCGAATTATTAGTACAATTGTTTCGAATTCACGACGTCTGAGATTCCAACTCGGGGCCCTTACAGTCACCGTTCTCACGCCGCTCCCCTACAAGAAATTATACGTTGAAATAATTTAATTGTCGATCCTTGGTCATGGAAGTAAATGAAAATGTATTCGAGGTTGTACTATCGACGGAAATAATATATGATGGGGACAAAAAGGCCGCTAGTGGCTGAAAAGGTTGATACAGGTGACTCACGGGATCTCAGCGTGGGAATGCCTAAGAACCATACTACCATATGTAGTGTTAACACGGTGGTGTATGAACAATATATTGAGTTTGTCATTTTGATTTTTATATAAAACAGGTCCGTAAGTGACTGATAGAAAACGCGTACAGATCACACCGCAGGATCTAAAGGGCTGAAATTTAGACATTGCTATAATGACATGGATAGCCGCTAAGAAAGGATTTTTTTGAAATTCTATTCCTAAGGGAATCATATGGACAATTTTTGACCATGTATAGACCGAAATGAACTGAAGAATTTGAGAAACGAGACATTTTGTTAGAAAGCCGTAGTAGCACTCTTTATCGCGTTAGAAAGGTACATTAAAACATAGTCCTGCATTAACGAAGTCGCGGGTAAAGCTAGTCTGTTTATAAAAAATGTGTAGTGTTTAGCTCGATCACGATCTCCAAATAATAATTTATAAAAATTGTTGATTTTAGTTCTAAAACGTTCAAAAGTTACAACGGTTTTACCATTGTATTATTTATCTACATTTTCCCGTTATGGCAAAGCAAGGGTTTTTTGAACCACCTAAAGGGGAATTTATAGTATTTTGCGTCAAATAATTCTTTTGTCAGAAGAAATGGAAAGGGCAATCTTGTAGGAGTGACGAATAAAAGGCGTAGGGGCTATTGCACCCGAACTGTTGTTAATCCGCTCATCCCTTTTGATTTATACCTGCGGTATTTCGGAAGGTATAACAAGGAATAGCAAGTTGGAAAAAGCTAACACCTTTATCTTATCTTAATATCTTAAAAGAAGGTTTTAAGTTTGTAGTTTTTTTACAAACATTAAATTAATTGTAATCGAAATGTTAGGGACTGACGCACGCAGCAAGTCAACCTATAAAATAAATGTGTAGAGATTAGTGACCGTTAATCGATAGTTATTTAGATATCGTGAGATGCGGTCGGGTGTGATGTAGGTTTCAGAAAAACATTTTCTTTATCGTGCCAACGTTTCGATCTTTATTGAGATCATCTTCAGGGCCTGGGATTTACAAATACACACCCGACCGCATCTCACGATATCTGAATAACTATCGATTAACGGTCACTAACCTCTACACATATAATAAGATTTTTCTTTCAATTGAAAATTGCTTAATGTATTGTGTGTTTAATTAACGTTAAACTGCGCCTTTCAGGACATTCAGTTTCTCATTTTTTTCCGGTTTCCCGACTTTCTTGATGAACTCTTTTATGGCAGCATGAAATCTTCCAAAAGAGTTTTGATCCTATCCTTGCTGAGGAACCGAGCCTCTTGAGAACCCTTTTATTTTGTAAGCTGGGAGATGCTATGCACCCTGCGACTCTTATCCGTGATCTTACCGATTTTGCCTTTGAGTGAGCTACTCGCTTCTTCGCCCAGCGTATCAATCTCCTTAGCGAGAACACCCGACTGCTACAGTTTCTGTCTAAAAATCAGGAGAAATTGACATTTTAACTTTCAGTGTGCTGCCCCCTCTCTATTTAAAAAGTGCTTATTGTTAGACTGGAAGTTTCTTACACCCAAGTGTCATTTAGTATAATTTGAAATTACGTAGGAGTAGACCACGTGCATGCCCGTGCATCCTTTTGAAGTCCCGTATTTAAGTTTTAAATGGGCCTTTGAGCAACTGATCTTGCCCTTCAGATGATAGTGTTGAAGTAGGTTTTTTAGTAGGCTAGTTCTCATGGTACCCAGTCATGCTTTAATTTATCACGTACAAGCTTTTTACTCCTGGTTGCACTTTTCCCTACGAATATTATTTTAATATGTTTGACATGTATATGTATTCTGCTGTGTATTGTTCGCCATGACGAATATTTGGTTCATTACTGAAGGAAAAACAGTTTCTCCCGATCCTCCGTTTTCCACTTCTTTGATTTGAATACAGTTAAGTAGTGGAATAATAGTTTTAATATAGTTAGTTGGAATAATATTTGGAAAAGTTTAATTAAACATCTAATTAAATTTAATTTCTTTAAAGGACGTTGTTGATAGCGGATCTTAGTACTTAACCCTGAGATACTCACGGAACTCAATGTAGTATATTTAATTCTGTTCAGTTCTTACTTTTTACTTTTTTAGCATATATCCTAAAAATATATTGCTATGACGTTATACATTTTTCTTTTATTCTGCTGATTCGCTAATGGCTAATGTAATCAATGCAAAGTAATCGCTGGTGTCCTTGCAATAATTGTTCAGGTTATTAATTGCTGTGAGGGTTTTGTTATTTTAATTTGATGTAGTTTTAAAATGATGAATAGAGTTTGTAGGCGTCATAAAATAGCGTTCTTGTGAACAACAAGAAAAGCAAAACAAATGGCTTTTCAAAACCTGCTATGTTAGTTCGTTTGTAAAGCTATTAATTTTTTAGCTGATATTCACAAACTTTTCTGGTACTTGTACATTCTTTCTCTTAGTTCTTCTTCTTCCCGTCATTCTATTTAAGCCTTTTTAAGAAGGTGTTTTAATTTTTATACTACTTTGTAAAATTGGTCTTTCCTGGCCCTCTTTGGGACCATCTCTATAGGGCTTCAAATGAAGACGGGTTTTCATGATTTTTTTTACTGGAAACTTCCAGCTTGCGGCGGTTGGAAAGATTTAAGCCGGATTTCTCTCCTCAAGTGCGTCATTTCGCGTCTCCCATTTTCGCAGGGCTCAATGAACTCGTTGTTTGCGAGGAAAGTTGAAATGAGAACGGCCCACGTTGTTTTTCTTCCTCCTACTCTTCGTGTTCAGCCGCTTTTACAATTCGCGTGTTCCCGTTCTTCAAACTTGTTTATAATACTATAAAACACAATCGATTCGCTTTTATTTGCCACGGCTTTTCCTCCAAATATGTTTTTTTTTTGTCAAATCTCCTTTTTTTTAATCGAGAGTTTATCGATATGTTTTTGTGATATAACAGGACAAAAATGGAAGAACGGCATCGTTCTGAAGGATAATTCACATTTCCATGCCAAAGGATGCTAATTTTACTCTTTACATTTATTTATCAGACTTGATTTTTATGATATTTTCTCATTCAAGAGAACATAACTTATTTATGGTAAATTAGTCAAGTAGTCAACAAATCTAATTAACTTTCAAGATTGAGTCTAGGATTTGACGGTACTTAAGCACTTTATACGTTACAGTTTCGAAACCTTTCGTTTTTGGCATTGAGGTTTTTACCACCGCTCTTTCAGGTTAACTCAAATATTTTTGAACCATTTTAAATTGTTAAGACACTTCTTAAAGCTCTTAATGTTGATGTTCAGACAAGCTGAGAGCCGTCGTGGGCAACTCAGGCGCCGTCATGGACGGTGACGCAGGAACCTTGTGCACTCCTTTTACACACAGCTGCTTTAATCGAAAGAGATCTAACTATCTTCTATTTCGAATTACGTCCTTCAAGGTTACGTCCAAAGTCCTTGAGTTACATGTTCAAAAACAAGTAAAACGAGGCAAACTCAATTTTAAACTTGGAGCTTTCTCTTCGAATAAAAGTAATAAAGTAAAATAAAGTGAAGTTTTTTCCCCTCTTCAACGGAGAATAACAAATTACAACTGTTTTGTATATATTTGAGTATATTTTCCCTGGCATGTATTCGTAATAAAAAAAAAAGATTATCCTCAAATGAAGTTATAAACAGGCAATTTCAAATTTAAATGTTTATCGTAACTTATTTAATTATGAAGCCTTAGTTGGTTTGCGATTTGTTAAATTGTGGTTATAAAACATTTAGATTTTTGATCACCA